ATGATGAAAACGTTTTATATTCCACCACATCAGAGAGAGTGGATGGATTCTTTCATTTTTTATGATTTTAGCATCAGAGTCTGTGCAATCCTGAATACTTGACATGGATTCTCCAAAAATGTAGATCTTGAGACATAAAGGTCACTCAGTCTCCTGTGAATCGTGAATCCCCCCTGTGTCTGCGTCTCACCCACAGAGGATCCACAAGGGGAAGAGCAGTGAGGGTCAGAGCCCAGGTGGGTTCACACTGAGGACCACCCACATCCAGGGCACACAGAGGAGGGCCTAAGGTGAGAGACCAGCCCCTGCCCTGGGTTGTGGGTGATAGGTGGGTGGGACAGTCACCAACTGAGTATTCCTGGAGCTATTGCCATTTTCCTCCTGAAGACCCCACCCCTGCACACACCAAATCACTGCATCCCTCGTGGAGCAGCCTTCTCTTTTTAAATGTAACACCCACTAATCATAAACCCAGCCACTGCCACTTCCAGTGACACCCCAACAGAATAAGCTCTAACTCCCACTGAAATTGCCGTCAGAGTTGCAGCTAACCATTTATTTCTGTTTTTGTTTTTGCTTTGGTTTTTGTTCTGTTGTCCAGGTTGGATACAGTGGCACGATCATGGCTTACTGCAGCCTTGAACTCCCCAACTCAAGGGATCCTCCCTCCTCAGCCTCCTGAGTAGCTGAGACTACAGGCATGTGCCACCACCTTCAGTTAATGTTTGTGTTTTTTGTAGAGATGGGGTTTCACCGTGTTGCTCAAGCTGGCCTCTAATTGCTGGGCTCAAGGGATCTTCCTGCCCCGGCCTCCCAAGTTTCTAGGATTGGCATGAGCCACCTCACCAGGCCTGAAGCTGAGGTTTTGGAGCTAAGGCGGGAAGTCGTTGTAGGGTTTGCACCTGGCCGATCTGAAAGGTGGTCCTGAAAGGTAATGTGTGACTAGGAGAGCCCTTGGCAGGAGGGACACAGGTGTCTCTGATAAAAGGAAAACAAGACAGATGGGAAAGGATCCACAAGTGAACGTCAGTGGACCCTGTGCTCACACAGCACTGGGATTGGAAAACCTTCTTCAAGCGACTTTTGACTTGTGGTTTTGCATTCCACCGTCTCAGTCAGGCCATTGCAGACAATCCCCTCATTTGGTGAACATTTATCAAACACCTACTGTGTGCTGGGCATTGTGTTTAGAGGAGTTGGAGCTGAGGTAAAAGGAACTAAACCCTCCTTGACCTTGAGAGTGGCCCAGTCTTGCTCAGGCAGAAATCAGTGTGGAAATTATAACACAAACGGTTGGTGGGACATGCATTTGCTTTGCAGACCCAAATGTAGACCATCTACTCTGACCTCAGAGTCACAGAAGTTTCATAAAATAGATGCTGAGGTATGTTTTGAGGTATAAATAGGACCCCAACAGGAGTCCAGGACAACAGAGCATTGCTCAGAATCCAGGATGTGAATTTTTTACCCCAGGCCATGGCAGGACTCGGATAAAGCTCACTAGAAAACCAAGTCTTTTCTGGCAAGAAAGTGTGTCCCACATCTGACTATCCAGAAGTCAGAGTTACTCAATATTGTGTCTTCAGATGGAGAGAGAGAAAGAGCCTGATCTGAAAAGCAGAATTCTTCGGAGTAAGGGGAGGTTAAAATGCAGTTTCTGATTCCGTAGGTCCACGGCAGGACCTGAAATTGCATTTCTATCAAGTTTCCAGGTGATGTCAATGCTACTTGTTCTAGGACTATGCCTGAGAACCAACACCCGAAGGCAATGTGGTTTGATTTCTAATATCAGAAGAAAGTTGGGAGGGAGAGGTACAGGATAAATGAGTGCATAGCTCGCCAGTCCTGGAGAGCTTCCCACCCCAAAGCTGCAGTGTTTGATTTACTTGGGGATGGCAGACACCCAGGAAGGAACCAACGTGGGTTTGCAGGACGATCCAGAGGCTCAGCTTCACACAGCACCTGAGGCTTCTGCCACTCCACAACTAGCCCCACCCTCAGTCCTTCCCTCCCCTCACAACCTCCAGGATTTGCCCTAATGCCCTGGAACTGAGACTCAGAGGTGCTGGTCTCTGGGAAGCAGGGTCCCTCCAGGGATGGCAGAGGGTAGCTGTGAGTGTACCTTGTGATCCAAATACAGGTTGACCTAGTGGGACAAGTACTTAGAACAGGCTAATAATGAGGACTTTGAAAATTTGGCAAATGTGTTTTCCAGTATTACCATTCTCTTGTCTAAACATCACATTCTTGAGCCAACATAGGCAGTAGGGTGTGTTCCGACCCCACGGAAGCCAGCATTCTCACATGAGTCCCCCTTACAATGCCTTTGTAGGTTCGACTTTCCTATTTAAACCAAGATTTGGCCAAAGTTTCTTTCACCAAACCAATTACATTTGTTCATTGCCCATGCTCTTGTTTGGCTTCCTTTAACAAATGAAAGACAGATCTATAAAGAAAGATAATGCAATTAAAAAGAAAGCAACATACTGAATTAAAACGGTAACAAACATCCTTAAGGAGTGAGGCAGTTTTTAGACTGTTTTTAATCTTAGAGAAGAGAAGATAATTATTTCTATCAGGGTTTTTTAAAGTTTTTTTTTTTTTAATTTTGAGGTATTTTATTTTGTTTGTTTTGTCCTTTTTGGAATTATCTTCTGACTTGTCTCAAAATTCAAAAGTTTAAAAGTGTCTCTTTTACCCCATCACATCCTTATCAGGAAGCCACTGATATCAGTCTCTTGTTTATTCCTTCAAAGACATTTTATGCATATGCAAGCAAATATAAATGTATACGTATATGTTCTATCTACCTTTTCACACAGATTTTAATAAACTCCATATGCTTTTCTGCACCTTGTTGCATTCTCTTAACATCGTATCCTGGAGACCATCCATTATGAAATATGAAGAGATTTGCTGCATCTTTCTTTTTTGGTTCAAAATTCTCATGATACCCCATTGTGCAGATATGCTATGCGCTTTTTTAAAAAACAGAAATTACTCCTTTGTAGCCACTTTTAAAAATCAGTTTTGTATCATCTAATAAAAAATAGAGGTTACTCTTTTCGAAAGTTGTGCTTTTTAACCAACCCCTATCTGATAGGCATTTGGATTATTTCTTTCAGAGAACAATTTGGCATCATGTAGCATCATGTGGGAAGGGTGCCGTGACCCTACTCTTACCTGCATATTCTAAGGAAACTCACGTATCCCAGTGACCAGAAAGCAACATCCCAGGATGTTCATTGCAGCAATGTCTGTAATTGAGACAACCTAAAGGTCTGAAGAGGGGAAGAGAAAAATTGTAGCAGATTCCTCCCATGGAATATTATCCAGCAATGAAAACAAATTAACTATTTGTGTAGACATGCATTCATCTCACAGAACCATACCAACTGGAAAAGCAAGAAAATGATAAAATCAGCAAGAAACAACTTTTAAGAAGTCTAAAAGCAAGGCCGCATGTGATGCCTCATGTCTGCAATGTTAGCACTTCGGGAGGCTGAGTTGGGAAGATTGCTTGAGCCCAGGATTTGGAGATTAGCCTGAACAACATGGCAAAACCCTGTCTCAACAAAAGTTAAAAAAATTCGCCAGGCATGGTGACATACACCTATAGTCCCAGCTACTTCGGAGGCTGAAATAGTAGAATTGCTTGAGCCTGAGGGTCGAGACTGTACTGAGCTGTATGTGTGACACTGTGCTCCAGTCTAGGTGACACAGCAAGAACCTGTCACACACGCACACGCACAAATATTCAAAAGCATATAAAATGAAGATGTTGTCTAAATCTTAGTAAAAATAAAAAGGCATACACCAAATTCAAAACATGCGTCCACCAGCAGTTCTTGCTCTGCTCAGTACAGTATTGGCTAAAACAAATGCATATCAGAACTGTGGAAATCAGGGCTATCTACACGTATTTCTACTATTTTCTGTATATATGACATGTAGCCAATAATATTAAAATGTCAGAAACTGACAAACTTGGGTGGTGGCTTTACAAAGGTTTCTTGTAATTCTCTAGTCTTTTTTCCAGCTAAACCTACTTCATCATAACATTTGTGAAGTGAATCCACAGGAGTTGAGCAGAATGAAAAAGAGGTATTGAGTGTGAGGAAAGCTGTGGAGAGGTACAGACAGATGGAGAGATTACAATACCCAGATGTCAGTGACCTTCACAATAACAGACTTTCTGGAGGAGTGTGAGCTAAAGCCAGAATGAAGTGGATGAAATACATAAAAGGGATGAAGGAGTGAGGACTTCAGGGTGCAAATATGGGGTTGGGTGGGCCAGACTAAGAAGTGAGAATGGATTCTGAACACTCCGCTTTAGGTCTAGCACTTACAGAAAGAGAAATCAGCTTTATTTACCTCCTTCTGCAATCTTTAGAGAAATCTTCTGAAACATTACAGAAGAAAAGATATGAATGGCCAGTAGTCTTCAGGGAAAAATGCAAAGTAAAACCACAGTGAGAGACCACTGTGCACCCATTAAAATGGCTAAAGCTAAAATGAGTAACAACTGTAAATGTTGGCAAGGATGTGGACCAATCTGTACTCTTATCCAATCTGTGGATAAAAGTACAGCCACTTGGGTATTTTTCACTGTATGTAAACTTGAGGGTAGTCTGGACAGTTTCATCATTTTCTCCAGCCTCAGATGTCACAGTAATGGTGAAGCTGGGTGGACTTTCTGATAATAGTTAGCAGGACCTTGTCAAGTGAAGCACTACTGAAGGAGAATGTGGTATCAGGAGAGTCCATTTATATTTTGGAAGACTAGTTGTTAGGAGGGTTGGATCAATGTGCAATCAAGCTGTGAAGGAGTCAGGGTAGATGGACTCCAGAGCCTCCAGCTCGTTGTGCTGCTCCTCGCCGTAATCTGTCATCGCGGCCCTTGCTCTTGCCCATGGATTGCCCAGACACCTAGGCGGCGCGCAGCTGCCGCGACAGCTGCCGCGCTGGGAGAGCAGGCTGCAGCCAGGCGGGCGCCAGATGAAGCGCCCCTTTATGAAATATTCTCTCAGGAAAATCTAGAAGATAATGATATCTCAGACATTTTAAAATTACTAGCATTACAGGCTGAAGAAAATCTTGGTATGGTGATGATCTTTACTCTAGTGACAGCTGTGCAAGAAAAATTAAATGAAATAGTAGATCAGATAAAAACTAGAAGAGAAGAAGAAAAGAAACAAAAAGAAAAAGAAGCAGAAGAAGCTGAAAAGCAATTATTCCATGGCACTCCAGTTACAATTGAGAATTTCTTAAATTGCAAGGCCAAGTTTGATGCAGAACTCTTGGAAATTAAAAAGAAAAGGATGAAAGAAGAAGAACAAGCAGGAAAAAATAAATTAAGTGGGAAACAACTATTTGAAACAGATCATAATCTTGACACATCTGATATCCAGTTCTTGGAGGATGCCGGAAACAATGTGGAGGTAGATGAGTCTTTGTTCCAAGAAATGGACGACTTGGAGCTAGAGGATGATGAAGATGATCCCGACGACAATCCTGCTGACCCAGAGAGTGACTCAGCTGATTAATGGACTGTCCCCATCTGCAGAGAGGTTTGACTGCCACAGCATCTGTGGCTATGCTCAGAAGGTTTTGGTTTTCCTTTCTTTTTTTCTAGGAAAAAATTATTTTCAGGAGAATATTCTTCTGATAGCTTTCATCATTGAACTTAATAAACTGACCTTAAAATTTCAAATAAAAAAAAAAGTACAGCCACTTTTAAAATCAATTTGTATCATCTAATAAAGTGAAACAAACTAGTACTCTATGGCTAGCATTTTCACTCCTAGGTATTTACTCAAGAGAAATGAAAATTATGAACAAAAATTCCTGCATAAGAATGTTCGTAATTCCTTTATTTGTAATAGTAAAATATCAGGAATACTCCCAATGTGCAAAAAAAATTGTGAATCAGTCATAGAATGGAATGTTTATCACCAATAAAAATAAATGAACTACTGATATGTGCAACAACACGGATATATCACATAGTTAATATTACAAGTACAAAAAGCGAGATGCAAGGGAAGCCACAGTGGATGAGTGAATTTGTATGAAGTTTTAAAACAGGAAGAATGACTGTGTCATGATAGTCATCAGATCAATGGCTGCTGGAGGAGGGGGGCTGAGGTGAAGGGAGAAGAAGGGAATTTTCTGTATCTTGACCGTGCCATGGGTGATATAGCTGTATTTGTCAAAATTTGTTGATGAATTTGATAAAAGCTAATTTTTTGGGTTTATGTAAATTTAACAAATTTAAAATGCTAATAATAACAATTTTAATGTTAGTGATAAAAATACTAGTTAAAAATATTAGCAACCAAATCCAATAACACACCAAAAATATACACCATGATTAAATTAGTTTTATACCATGGATGCAAGGATGATTTGACATATGTAAATCAATAAAGGTGATATACCACATCAACAGAATAAAGGACAAAACCATATAATCATCTCAGTAAGTGCTGAAAAAGCATTTGATAAAACTTAACATTGCTTCTTAATAAAAACTCTCAAGAAACTAGGCATAGAAGAAACATATTTCAGCATAATAAAGGCCATATATGGCAAAGCCACAGCTAATATTATACGGAATGAGGACAAGCTGGTAGCCTCTCCTCTAGGATCTGGAACAAGGCGATTCCCACTTTCACCACTTTTATTCAACACAATACTAGAATTCCTAGCCACAGCAATCAGGGAAGAGGAGGAAATAAGGCGCATTGGAAAGCAGGAAGCCAAGTTATCCTTGTTCATATATGACATGATGCTTTACTTAGAAAAACCTAATGAATTCACCAACTAAATTGTTAGAACTAATAAATGTTAGTTTATTAGTTTGAAATTAGCACAGAATTCACTGAAGTAGCAAGATACAAAATCAACATGCAAAATTTCATATAATTCATATATACCAACAGCATGCAACCTGAAAAAGAAATCAAGAAAGCAACACCATTTACAATAACTACCAAGAAGACAAAATATCTAAGAATCAATTAACTAAGGAAGTAAGATGAAAACTATAAAACATTTATGAAATAAATTGGAGAGTACAAAAAGAAATGGAAAGAACTGGGCATGGTGACTCATTCCTGTGATCCCACAACTTTGGGAGGCCAAGGCAGGAGAACTGTTTTAAGCCAGGAGTACAAGATCATCCTGGGAATCGCAGTGAGGTCCTGTCTCTAAGGAAAAAGGCAACATTTCATGCACAGGGATTAGAAGAATTAATATTGTTAAAATGTCATACTACTCTAAGCAATTTACAGATTCAATGCAATGCCTGTCAAAATACCAATATTATTCTTCACAGAAGTAGAAAAAGCAATTATGAAATTTATATAAAACCATAAAATATCCCAAATAGCCAAAGAAATTATGAGCAAAAAGAGCAAAGCTAGAGGCATCACACCACCCTATAAATATACTATAAAGCTATAGTAAAAAAAAAAATCAGCATGGTACTGGCATAAAAACAGACACACAGATTAATCAAACGCAAAAGATTACTCAGATATAAGTCCATGCATTGATAGCCAATTCATTTTTGAAAAAGAAACCGAGAATATACAATGGTGAAAGAACAGTCTATTAAATAAACAGTGCTGGGAAGATGTTACCAGATGCAGAAGAATGCCACTAGACCCCTGTCTCTCACCATATACAAAGATCAACTCAAAATGGATTAAAGACTTAAACGTAAGACCCAAAAGTGTAAAACTACTAGAAAAATGCTTATAGAAAACACTCCAGACAGGCATCTAGGCAAAGACTTTATGTCTAAGACCTCAGAAGCAAAGGCACACACACACACACACACACACACACACACACACACACACAAAATAGGCAAATGGGACTATATTAAGCTAAATAGCTTCAGCACAGCAAATGAAAAAATCAACAGAATGAAGAGGCAACCTTCTGAATAGAGAAAATATTTGCTATGTATTCATCCAACAAGGAACTAATGTCTAGAACACACAAGGAACTCAAAAACTCTGCAGTAAAAAACACAATCCAATTTAAAAAGTGGACAAAGGGTCTGAATAGATATTTCTCACAAGGAGACATACAAATTGCTAACAGGTATATGAAAAACACTCAGTATTACTAAATATCAGGAAAATGCAAATCAAAAATACAATGAACTATCATCTTATCTTAGTTAGAATGGCTGTTAATAAAAAATAATAGATGCTGGTGAGCATGTGGAGAAAGGAGGACTGTTGTACACTGTTGGCAGGAAAGTGAGTAAGTTCAGCAACTGTGGGAAACTGCATATGATTTCTCAGAAAACTAAAAATAGAACTACTATCTGATCCAGCAATTCCACCCCTGAGTATTTATCCAAAGGAAAAGAAATCAACGTATAAAAAGAGTAACTGCACCCTCATGTTTATTGAAGAATTATTCAAGGTAGCAAATATATGAAATCTGTGGGAGAATTCATCAGTGGGTAAATTAATAAAGAAACTGTGGTATATTTACACAATAGAATGCAATTCAGCCATAAATAGTAATGAAATCCTGTCAGTCGCAGCAACATGGATGGAACTGGAGCTCACGATGTTAGGCAAAATATGCCAAACAAAAAAAGACAAATGTCACATATTGTCACTCATATGTGCGAGCTAAAAAAATTAATCTCATAGATGCAGAAGGTAGAATGACAATTACAAGAAGCTGGGAAGAATGTAGGGGTAGGAAGACATAGAGAGGCAGGTTTGTGGGTACAAATGTAGAGTTACATTGAACAGATTAGTTCTAATGTTCAATAGCACAGTAGGCCAGCTACAGTTAACAAAAATGTACATTTCAAAATAGCTAGAAGAATGGATTTCAAATGTTCCCAGCACAAAGAAATGACAAATGCTTGAGGTGATGGATAGTCTAAATGTCCTATCTTATTGCACATTCTCTGGATGTATCACAATATCACATCTACCCCATAAATATGTACAAATATTATGCACAAATTTTAAAAATATTTGTAAAATATCTCAACACAATATAGGGCATTTTATTTTATTTATTTTATTTTTTCCATTTATAAACATTTGTATCACCTTACTTGACTTACTTGCTTTTAACAATTATGTTTTAACTGTTTGTGAAAATTTTATGAGACATTAAACGAAGCTAGTAATCATCTTATTTTCCTTGTAGATAAATCAGGCAAGTATTTAAAAAATCACAGAAGTAAAGAATACAAAAGTTGTTTCCAATGTTTTTGTTTTTTTTATTGCAATGGTTGTCATGTGTCAAGCAATTTACTTTCATCATGTATTCTGTTGTTAGGTTGAATTAATAATCTTGAGCATCTATAAAGATAATATGTTTACTTGACTAGTAAACCCAGATGGAATAAGTTGTATGTCTGCATTACAGTTAATGTTGATAACTCTCAAGATTTGCCTGATTTAATTAATATTATTATTAATATTAGTATTTTTATTTCCACAGATTATTGGGGAACAGGTTGTGTTTGGTTACATGAGTAAGTTCTTTAGCAGTGATTTGTGAGATTTCAGTGCACCCATCACCTGAGCAGTATACACTACATCCAATTTGCAGTCTTTTATTCCTCACCCACTTTCAGTCCTTCTCCCCAAGTCCCCAAAGTCCATTGTGTCATTCTTATGCCTTTACATCCTCACAGCTTAGCTCCCACTTGTGAGTGAGAAAATACGAAAATTATGAGCATGATAAAATTTGGCAAATATTCACTTTTTATTAAGGTTAACTTTTATCGTCTGTAAATTTCAGGAGAATGAAGCCCATGCAGCATCAGAAGGAGTTGCTCTCCTGAGACAGAATGTTCTTCCCATTTAAAAAGGCAGAAACAGCATCACTAGGGGAAGCAGGAGTTTGGAGAACTACACAGCCCACGTCTTGGTGTCTGGAATTAACCAGACTTAGGGAGAGTTCACTTTCTGGGAAAAACTAAACTTTGGTTCCCTTTCTTTTTCGTTCTTATTGCAAGACAAAATTTCAGAAAACTAAGAGAAAGCAAGAAGCCAAAGGGATATACTCTCTTTTATTTTCTAGAATATTTATTGCCAAGGATGATCCAGACTGTTACGAGATGAATTGTGTTCCTCCATCACCAAAATCCACAGGTTGAAGTCCTGTGTTGAGAAGACAGAAGAATAAGTGGCCATCTACAAGCCAAGGAGTGAGACCGCAGAACAAATCAACGCTGCAGCACCTTGATCTTGCACCTGTAGCCTCCAGAATTGTAGGAAAATAAACATTCATTGTTTAAATCACCCAGCCTGTGGTACTTTGTAATTGTAGCTCTAGCAAATTAAAACAGAAATATTACATTTTTACACTGTCATATGCATGAACCTGGGATTCCAAAGCATATAGTGAGTCAATTGAAAAAGGATAATATATATAATCTCAAAAGAGAGTATATACCTTTGGCTTTATGCTTTCTCTTAGTTTTCTGAAATTTTCGTCTTGCAATAACAACAATAAAGAAAGGTAATCAATATTTAGTTTTTCCCAGAAAGTGAACTCTTCCTAAGTCTGGGTAATCCCAGACACCAAGACATGGGGCTGTGCAGTTCTCCAAATCCTTTAAGATGCATTTTCCTTAAAAGTCTTTGGCTGGGCGCGGTGGCTCACGCCTGTAATCCCAGCACTTTGGGAGGCAGAAGCGGGTGGATCACGAGGTCAA